GGTTTTAAGTGGATTAAGTTGTCTATGGTAGTACCATTTGTTGACAGAACTTTCCTCCCACCCAGTCCTGCAGTTGTTCAGTCCCAAAGACACACAGAGGCCTACATTAATTATAAACTGGTTGGCCTATTAGCTCAGGCTTCTTATTACCTGATTCTTAAACCCCAAATTAACTCATAATTCTTACCTGTGTTAGCAACATGGCTTGGTACCTTTTAACAGTGAGGCATTCTCATCTTACTTCCTCTTCATCTGGGTGACAACTGCAGACTGTGCCTTTTCTCTTCCCAGAATTCACGTATTCTGGTTACCTTGCCTATACTTCCTGCATGGTCATATCTTGATTTCTGGATCTGAGCTCTATGGTCCTTCCTCTCCACGGGTAGAAAATTCCAAAGATAATGAAGATAGTATTTTACAAAGAGAAATTCCTGCCATTCAGTATTAACAAAAGTTTTAGAAAATTAGCCATAAAGATGAATGCCAAACTCTAACTGGTGGAGTAGGTGTTAATAACTACCTTTTGGTAAAAGGGATACTGAGTAAATATCTAAGCTAATGAAAATTTGGGATATTTATTTGCTGAAATTCACCAATTTTACAAGGTGAAAGGACTTAAATACTGTTTATTTTTATATCCATGGAATGGAAATATTATCAAACCTCATCATCTTAGGTTAATGTCTATAAGAGCATGCTATGAAAGATACAAGCAACCTTAAAATTTGTAAGGATTTCCAAATGATCCTGAATAGGATGAAGCAATCTTGAGTAAAAGGAACGAAGCTGGATGTAGCATAATATTTTATTTTAAGACATAGTACAAAACCATAGTAACAGTAAAATATTCTATTGGCCCAAGAATGAGTTACCTAGACTAATGAAACGGAATAGAAGACTTAAGACACATTCAATGAATTTTCAGGTACCTGATTTTAGGCAAATTTTCCAAAACTTTACACTGAAAAAGTGTGGCCACTTTTACAAATAGTTCAGAGGAAACTGTATATCACTAGGCAAAAGATTAAATCTTGACAGCTGTCTATCACTTTATACAAAACTCAATTTAAAATTGGTCAAAAGCCTTACATTCTACAATTACTAGAGAAAAGCACAGCTAAACATTTTAAGATATTGGTATATGCAATGATTTTCTGTATAAGCTTCCAAAGAACACAGGAAAAGTTTAAACCTTTAGAAAGACTATTACAACATACCAAAAAAGAGAAAAATCTTTGTATGATGAAACTTCTCTACTTAGGCCTGAGATTTCTCCAATGGGAGAAAATGTATGCCAACTATACAAAAAGGGGTGACTCTCCAGAGCATACAAACAATAGCAAACAGGGAATTCAATTCAAGCTTCATAGAACATCTGAATAGACACTTTTCTGGAGAAAATATAAAATAATTCGTTAATTTATAAAAAACTATTCAAGATCATTTGTCATCAGAAAATTATAAATCAAATCTATAATAAGATACCACCTTCCTCCAGTTAGGATGGTTTTGAGTGATGGTAAAATTATAATAATTATAATAATAAACAATACTAATATCCATAATAGTAGTAAAGCGAAATGACAGAAAAAGTCAAAGATGTGAAGATGAAGGAATTGGGAACATTTTTGGTGGAAATGTAAACTTGTACAACTGCCGTGGAAACAGCATAACTGAAAGTAGAAATGTTATATAATCCAACTATACCACTTTGGCTATATATCTAAAGGAAATAAAATCAACGTATAAAAGAAGATACCTGCCAATCTGGGCTTATTGTAGCACTGTTCTCAGTAGACAGGACATAGCCTAAAGGTCTATGAACAGATGAATGGATAAACAAATCATAAAATAGATAACAACAGACTTGCTCCATACAAAACATGCTTGAAAATCTAATTGTGAACTCTATTAATTTCCACAATTATTGTGTCCATAAAAATTATTGTGCTTGAGAATATTTTGGTGATGAAAATGTTTTTAAGCTTACTTACAAAGATGGCTGCACAATTTTGTAAATCTACTACACTTTTATTATACTTCCGATAGGAGGATTTTATGATATACTAAGTTTGCTTTATTAAAGTTGTTAACAAATGATCAATAAACATCAAGAACAAAAGAACAAAAAAACTAATTAATCATTAGTTAAATTAACTGACTTTTAATCCATGGTCCAAACAAACAAAAAACAGAGGAAGAATACTCAAATGGAAGAGGGGAGGTTACTAAGTACAAATATTATGTGCGATCAGATGACAGCAAGTTAGATAAGAAATAAACAGAAACATGTTTGGAGCAAACTATAGTATCAGCTGGAAACTTGCTTATTAACAGTTTGGCAAAACAACTATAATTCTATGATTTTTGGATATATATTCTTTTCTTCTTTTTTCTTTTATTGAAAATAGATTCTTTGCACATATAATGTCTCTTGTCTTAGAGAAGGCATAATTTGCTCATTCCTTTTACATTTTCAAAACTTTCTTGTTCTTTAGTAATTTCAGGCATGTACAGTGAATTCCAATCATCCCCACTGCTCACATCTCTCCACCTGCCATCTCCTCTGATACCACACACCACAGCATCTTCTGCCCAACTTCTTATCCTCTTTTTAATCCGCTGACTTCAGTTAGGGCTGCCCAATGTGGATGCATGTAGGGATAGCCACTGGGAAAATGAGCAACCTACCAGGAGCCATACCCATGAAGAGGGCTAATTCTCCCTCTCAACCACCAGCTGCCAATAACTCTCCTAAGATAGGTGAGGCCTTGTGGACCTCTGCCTTGTCCTATGTAGAACGCCGCTTGGCTTGATCTTGTGCAGGTCTTGGGTGGTCAACCACAGCTGCTATAATTGTACGAGCACAATGGCTCTGTCATGTCCCAAAGACATATTTACAGCAGCTCCCCATGACCTTTAGCTCTGACTATCTGTCTGTTCCCTCTTCCACAATGAAACATGCACAGATGCCCATTTGCAGCTGGGCACTTGTTCTCTATATTTTGACCAGTTGTGAGTCTCTTTGTTAACCATCATCCTTTGTAATAAGCTTCCCTAACGAGGCAGTGGGAACTTCATAGATCTATGGTTATAATAATAAGGATTTGGAAGGAGGTTTGATACCATGTCTATTTTGAAAATAATGGTACTTGGTTCATGTCTAGGGCCTATGAGTTCCCCAGTCATGGTTCTTAGTCATATGAGTTTCCTCCTGTAGAACAAGCTTAAGCTAATTTTGAACCTGCTGGCTGTTGATTACTCTGCTAACATTCACAGAAAGCAACTGTTTTTTAGTAAACTTTCAACCTCAGTATATGTAATATTTTTAAAAAAATAAAGAAAAATAGAAAAATGGTTTCATCTCAGGGTACTCTTCTTTGAGAGGATCACTAATTTAAAAAAGGAAGAATGTCAAAGTTGAACCAACAACAATTTGCCTCTAATCACAGGAAAATTCATTAAAGCACAGTTCTTAACACTACACTTGAAAGTCTGACTTTGAGGTCTGGGTTGGGGGAGAGCTTTAGCGTCACCTTAATTTGTGTGGCTATGGAATGGATGGCAAAAATAAAGTGGAGGTCACTGGGTATAGAGAATAGAATAGCTGAAGTGCATGGGCACTATATTTTATGCAAAAATTGGTCTTATTATGTAAAATATGACAGGATTTAGAGTAGGAAAAAGACTGTAGGAGAGATTCCATGTTTAGTTGTAAGGAAAGAGTGAGGAGGAAACTGAAAGGTGAATATGTGTGGAGGGTTTTTACTGACAAAGGAATGAACCCAAAGATGTTGAGAACATAGTAGGCAGTAGAGAAATAGTGGTAAGAACATTACCCCTAGCTACAAATATACACAATGGGCTATGTGCTTGACTGGCCTTATTCTACCATTGTATTAACGTTTCTGAGAAGCCAGCACCATAGCCAGAAATCAAAGGAAGTTCTTCTTTGTCTAGTCTGTCAAAAAATTTAAGATGTAAGCAGATAATGTTCTTTAATTCTTCTCTGCTTCGTGAAGGAGAATAACAGAGGACAATAGTCAAGTAATTGGGTTGACATGATTTTTTTTCTCCACATATGGAATTTAGACCTCCTAGCTCCAGAGCGTCATCTGTTGCATGTTGTGTAATAAGTTAATTATGCATGCTCTGTTTTATTGAAAGAATAAAATAATTGAATCCTTCCTTAATACAAAATGTTTATGTATATTCATATATTCACACACACAACCATTTATCTATGCATGTATGTATATATGTGTCTATAAGTATATATGTATACATGTGTGTGTGAGTATGTGTTCAGTCCACTCATAGACGAGGCTATTTTTCAAGTTATAAAATCAAACAGAATATATCCTACTAGAATAGCTGTCACCACTACCGAGAGATCATATGGGGAGCAGACAACTATGATGCTAAGAACAAGTAAAACTCTAATACATAGCTGAGGAGTAGAGAAATTTGGGATGACCCATTTACTCATGTAGTTGTTAACTCTAGCTTTGAATTGAAGAACTTTAACAGTTGTTAATTCATATTAACTTGTGATTTTATTTATCTGTAAGAATTTAAAATTATATCCAAAATATGAAACAATCTAACTATGAATTTATTTCTTCAAATATTAAAACATATAATTATGTATATAACATAGATTCATATGTTGAGCTCTCTTAATTTTATGGATTATTTTATAATTGGCTATTTACTTACTTTAAATTAACTTTCCATGATATTCACAGTACAATCAAGAGTATAAAAAGTTATTCTAAAGAAATATAGCTCCAGTTTTACCCTACTTTAATTTCCTCCCATGGGTATGTTTATTTCTGTATCACTTCACATACCAACCTTTACAACACCTAAAAAAAAATATCTTGCCACTAACTGAGTGTTCTCCAAATCCTTTCGATTTCACCAAATAGTTATTTTTATTATGCCTTAATTATTTTCCACACAAATGTGTGATTTTTATTATTTAATACCTCAAGTCATAACAAGATTACAAGTTTTTATTTATCATTTCTTACACCATTAATTATATGGAGAGCTGATTCACATAGTTTTGCCTGTGAAGACTCTTGTTCAATTTTAACAACCCCCTGATGCACACACACTGTCATTGTATACACACTCTATTGAGAAGAAACAGAGATGGGTTGACATTCAGGGTTTCCCCCTCCCCATAGATTAAATAGGGCACAAGAATCTAGCAACTTTGGAAAAAGCCAAGCTTCTTTTGCTTTAATGCACCCAGAAGGTTTCAGATCAATACTTAGCATTAACGTTTTAATTGAGAATTAACATCATCGTAATTGGAAGCGAGGATCGGCATCCTGATGTCTACAAGGTGGTTTGGAGAGGAAGGTCATTACATTGCAAGCACAAACATTGGGAAAGGAAGACACAAATCATTTGTTTCCACGGGCAAGGACACACAGTAAACACTTGGATTGGTGGTCAACTGTAATTTGCTCCTAGAGTCAGAAACTGGCAACCCTGCACTTAGAATTTATAGCAGAGCACACTGTCTCGGTGACTTTGAAAGCAAAGGATTAAAGAAAAAAGGGAAACTTCATTAGTTCCAAAAGAGCTAGGGTATAAGGACTTTTTCCCTCAAAGCACAGAATGTACTCACACCTCTTCCCAGCAGCCAGTTACTATCCTCAACATGTTGTATTCTTGGATAAACCCCTTTGCAAAAGTCAAACACATTTTAGTCTAGATTCTCAGCAATGTTTTATTATTTGCCTCAAAATTTAAACCCAGTCTATTCCCAGGCTGAATAATATAGACATTTCTTTTTCATTTTGATGAAAACAAATGTTTCAAAAATTGTGAAATTTTCTGCTTCCAATGCGAAAATACCTAAGCATTTCTCCAAATTCCCCCAGAACCCAGGAAAACGCCTCCTTCCATTTCCCACCCTGTCCTCCAGTACCAGTCTAAGGCCCACCACCACCTCTTCCACTTTCAGGGAATGAACGTGCTTTTCAGATTCAGCAGTCTGGTGGAGTAAAGAGAATTAATTTATTGGAAGGAGAACTTCTGTATGAACCATCAAGACAGAAATCTCTTCTCTCCCCATTTAGTGGAACTGAAAGTCTGCACAAGACACGCCCATTGGGTTGTTCCCCTAGGTGTCCCCTGAGCCAAGTGAGGACCCAGTCAGGGAGGCACCCTCAGCTCGGTCTCGCAGACCACAGTCCCCCACCTTCACCCCATTGTCAGTGCAGTGTGCAGAATTGGGGCTCAAAGCAGTGGCCTTAGCATTTCTTTCCACACCCCGTGAGTCCAAAGCTCCTTTCCTTGTCCTGGAGGAAGGGTTCTTGTGGAAGCAGAGTTTGAAAAGTCCCAGCACTGTCATGGTCAAGATCACCAACACGATTACTGCTATGCTCACAAGGATGAAGACCACCGTGGAGGAGGAGTCGAAAGTCGGGGCAACAGAGGGGGAAGTTGCGTAGTTCATTGTAGGGATCAAGCTTCCTGGTGGGCTGATGGTGACTTTTGGCTTGGTTTGAACAGTAGGTAAAGTACTCTGTGTTCCCCACTGAAGAATCTCGGAAATAGATGTCGCAAAACTATCTTGTCCAGTGACCCGGGGCATCTCTCCTAGCTTCTCGGGTACCTTGCCTGGCCAAATTCTGTTTGTCACTGGGTTGGCTGGAGTAGTTGATGCATGCCTCGTGGGCAGCTTGGTCCCCGCAACTGTTGCCTGTCCTTCCCCTTTCACCTCACAAGATCGTCTGTCCTTCCCCAGCTCAAAGCCTGCAGCACATTCGCAGGCGAAGCCTCCCAAGTGGTCTAGGCAGTCAGGGAGCTCCACGCACTTGCCATCACGAAGGTACCTCCCAGAGCAGGGACAGAGCACAGCCCCAGGGAAAAGCCCGTCCCAACGAGCGCCTGTCTCTTCCTGGATGCAGGTGGCCGAGACGGAGAGGTCCCCCCCGGGACATATCACACTCACCTCCGTCCCAGGAGGGCTGAAGTCCAGAGCGGAGCTGCTCAGTCGGAAGGGAGCACGGAAACTTAAGTTAGTGGCGGCTCCGGGGCGCGGCGCGGGGCACAGGGCCTCAAACTGATACTTGCACAAGTAGCCATCAGCGCGCAGGTGGCAGCTCATCTCCTTCCAGCCAGCAGGCTCCACTCCCCCGGTGACCTGGAGCCCCGCGCACTTTCGCACGGTGCAGGAAAGTTGTGGTTCCTCTACCCATGGCAGCGTGTTGTCCTCCGAGTCTCCTGCGTCCCGGGGCAGCCAGGCGAAACCCCTCAAAGGTTCTTTCTCTAGGGTACAGAAGGATCGGCCGCGCTCTAGAGCCACCCAGAACAGAAGGTCCTTGGAGCCTCCGCCAGGCCCGGGACCTGCACGCAGGAGCGTGAGAACTGCACGCAATTCCGAGCCTGAGTGCACGGTGCTGAGAATCCCGCCGCGCAGGCTGCAGGCCTCCTCGGCTGCCCGCCGCTTGATGGTCGCGTGGTGCAGGCTGTAGCAAGCCCCCGAGGCAGAACAGGCAGCGCGATCTGCCGTGGGGTGCTCGCCACTCCCTGGCCCCGGCCAGAAGGCAGGACAGAGGAGGCACAAGGCAAGCGCAGGCCTCATCCTGGAGACTCAGGGTGCACAAAAGCTCCCAAGTCTCTGGCTTATCCAAGGGAACCCAGCTGTCTCTGGAGTCACCGCCCTCTACAGCCCTTTCTACCACCATGTGTGCCCTCCCCTCCCCTCTCCTGAACCCTCATCCTCCAGCAGCCAAAAGTCCCCACTGGACTCCCTTGGCCAACTACTTCCCCGAGGTCGTGACAGGAAATGTGTCCAGAGCCCTGCCAGGATCCGTGTGGCCCTGATTTATTCAGGGGTCAGAAACACAGCTGGCGCCTCAGCGCTGGGAACACACTGGGCCAACCGGGTCCAATGCCCCGCTTAGATAAGCAGGAGCAAAGAGAGTTGCCACAGAGATCAAGTGAGTCTCTTTCCTTGCTCAGGACTTATCTGGACTTTGGATCTTAGAATGCAGTGATGATCTTGGGCAGGAAGGACCCGAGTAGAGGAACTTGCCTGTGACTATAAGCCCACACCCGCCCATTGTGTTTGTGTCCGGGACGGTGGAGTTGGCGTCAGTATGATTTGTAGACTGTTCCAGGCTTGGGGAGGTTTCCTGAGCAAGCAAGGGATCTTGTGAGAAATGTTCCTGTGTCTTTCAAAGCTAGAGGCCTCACTCTTAAACCACTGATTTCCAGGGACTCTCTTTACGGAGTCAAAGGAAATCCAGTCATGCTAATTGTCAGCCGAAGAATCTAAATTTTTTTTTTGGGGGGGGGGGATTTTCCATGGGAAATCGCTCCTCTGGTCAGCACTTGCCTTAAAAGTTTGCTTTTATTTCCCTGTGTTTATCTTTAAAATACCTATGTTGGTGGATGGGGGGTGGGCTGCGACAAACAATAGCCACAGGTCCCAACTGTTAGCTTACTAAGCTTCCTCACCACTACATGGGGTCAAAAATTAATCAAGCTAATATAATAGGTTATATGCAAATGAGTTCATGGTCTTATTAAGGCCAGCAACAACTGTGTGTGATTTATCCTTGAACTATGCAAATATCATTGTTCCCATAATTGTCTGCCAGTATTTGTAGCAGAGAAGAATAAAAGGAAGATAAAAGCTCAAAAATATTTTTTAAAAATTAAACTGTTTGTTCTATTATAATATACATTCTATATTGGAAAATAATACTATGTAATTTGAGAGCTGATTAAATCAGCCACCTCTGGTTGCAACGGCTGTTTTGTTTTAATGTACACACCATTTCAGCTGAAAGTGGGAGGAAAGTTTGAAAGTTTAAAGTCAGCATTACGAATGCTCTTTTATGTTTGCAGCAACTTAGAGAATTTTATATAGTTTTATAAAATCCATCATTTATCTGTCTTGACTCACAGTGGCAAATATCATGCACTTAAGAGCAGACAGACTTTCAGTTTAGCCCTTTTAAAGATGCACCGTGCTTACAAATTGTCTGTAATCAGAGTGAAAGTTGCCATCTCTGCTGCATCCCGATGCTCCTTTTGATCCATCTCTAGTGCATCCCGATGACTGTTTTGCTAGACTGAACTGTTTAGGTTAACAAGATGCAAGAAGGAAAATGTCAAGATAACATCTATATGGTCCCCTCTTGTTTTTGCCATTACTGCCACTCTTGTGGGAGCTCCATGTATCCCAAGAGGAAATAGTGGTCAGGAGGAATTGTCATCAAACTAGCCTGCTCTTGCTGACGAGTTTTTCTTCTATCCTGTTTCCCAATTTGAAGGACATGCCTTGGTCCTTCCTTTCTAATGTCTGAGTAAAAACATGACATTACATTTACATTAAGTAACAGTGTCTTATAAGAAAGAAGTGTAAAAAAAATCCAACAATCTACTTCAGTGAATTTCTATGATACTTAATCACCTACATCAATTCTATATGCTTTTGCAATCGCGCAATTGTGAACTGGGAAATGTGTCCCTGTACTGTAGTGTATTTTGACAAAATCTTTTTCAGAGCTAAGTAGTCAATGGAAGTTCTTAGATGTTTTGAAAACCAATTGGCATCAGAAGTGTTCTAGAATAAGCCAGAGTGAGTGGATAGCTTGCTTTATAAACACACGTTCTCACTTTCTGGCATTCCATGTAGTAGCTTATTAAAAGAGAGGAACAAACCAGCCATAACAATCGCATGTCATTGCTCTGACCATGCTTGAAAGCGTGTGAGAGAATTAGGGGGAAAATTACCCCAAAGAAAGACATATCTAATTTTTAATTGATTATTATCCTACATACAACTAACAGGTTTCAAAATTTTAAATATACCTGAAATAATGGCTAGAAAGAAAGCTTTTGTTTTTTTCAACCCTGTAGTAATTAGATGTCATTGTACCTCCACCAGAGATCAAATACTTGGCATGAATAAAATGTATGCCTCTGTGAATGCATACATCTCTGTGTCTGTCTGTCTGTCTGTGTCTGTGTACCTACGTTTGTTAGACATTTGTGTAGCCAGGAGGCTGTTCCACCACACATAATAACAGAATATTTGTAAAAGGTGTTTGGTGTGGTATTGTTCATATCAACAAAAGTAAAAATCCACCAAAATGCCCAGAAACATAAGATTGTAGTATATTCACTCAATAAATATGATATCCTTTTATCCTCAAATTAAAGAAATAATATGATTTAATCTTACCAACACAATGTTAAGTGATAAAAAGAACAAAATATTATACATAGACAATTTCTTATAGCTTTAAAGGTACAGAATGTATAGTTTAAATATACATAGATGTTTTAGGAAAATAGTTACAATTCAACAAGATAAGAACCACTTGATTCTTAAAAATAAGCAACGATAAAATAAATAAAAGCAGCTATATTTGAGCACATGATAGAGGAATGACGTGACCAAGTGCCAGAGTCTCAAATTAAAAGGTGGCATAAAGTTGTTGGCTCTATCTTCAAAAAGGATTTTCAACACATTGTCTTTTAATCCTGTAGTTTTATGGGTAAGTGCTTCAAATTTTGACTATTAGTAATCTGAAAGGCACAATAACTAAATATTTTCTTTCTTCTATTTACTTGCTATTTTTAATGATTAAAAATTATGTTTTTAATTTATTCTTTCCTATATTACATCCCAGCAGAAATTTTCCCCTTCTCCTCCCTCCTCTAGCCCCCATCCATTCTGCCTTCTTTTCCCTGCAGAAAATGGTAGGCCTCCCATAGATAGCAACCAAACATAGCATATCAAGTTGCAGTAAGCTTAGACACCTCCTCTCCTAATAAAGCCTGACAAGACAGTTTAGTATGAGGGAACGGTCTCAAAAACAGGCAACAGAGTCAGAGACTGCCCCTACTCCCACTGTTAGGAGTCCCACAAGAAGACTAAGCTACACAATTGTCACAAATAAGCAGAGTTGCTAGGTCAGTGCCATGCAGGTTCCCTGATGGTTGATTCAGTTTCTGTGAACCCCTGTGAGTCCAGGTTAGTTGATTCTGTGGGTTTTCTTGTGGCGTCCTTGACCCTTCTGATTCCTACAATCCTTCTTCCCCTTCTTCTGCAGGATTATCTATTGTTTGACTGTGGGTTTCTACATCTGTTTCCAAGAGCTGCTAGATGAAGCCTTGCTTCATCCTCCATTACACTAAGCTCTTGTCTACAAATATAACCGAACATCATTGGGGATCATTTTACTGACTTTGTTGTCAGTAATGTTGTTGTTGTTGTTGTTGTGGTGGTGGTGGTGGTGGTGGTGATGTTTGGTTATTTTAGCTATCTAGCCTCTGGTTCCTGGCCCTTTAGGTAGTGTCAAGGGTGAGCTCATTCTCATGGCATGACTCTCATCTTGGGCTAGCCATTGTTTGACCTCTCTTCTGATTTCTGTTTCACTTTTACCCCAGCAGATCTTGTAAACAAGACAAATTATAGGCTTAAGGTTTTGTGACTGGTTGGTGCCCATCCCTCTACTGGGAGACTTGCCTCGTTACAGAAGATGGCTGACTCAGGCTCTGTATCTCCCCATTACTAGGAGTTAAAGCTGGGGTCACCCTCCTGGATTCCTGGGAGTTTCCACTGCACTGGTTTTCTAGCTCATCCCTGAGACACCCCCCAGTTCCAGTTGTCTCTCCCAGTACTCTCTCCCTCTTTCCTTCCTGAGCCTGATCCCCACTGTTCCTAACCCTATCCAGTCCTTCCTACTCCTCCCTAGGGTGAGGGATATCTATTCTATTTCCCCTTCCCAGGCAGATTCATGTGTCCTCCCCTTAAGTCCTCCTTGTTGCATAGCTTCTCTGGGTCTGTGGATTATAGCATGGTTATCCTTACATTACAGCTAGTGTCCACTTATGAGTGAGAACATACCATGTTTGTCTGGGTTACCTCACTCAGGATTATTTTTCCTAGTTCCATCCATTTGCCTTGCATTGGTGGTATAGGGGTGAGCATATCTGCCTTCCATCCATTTACCTGCATATTTCTTGATGTCATTTTTGAAAAGCTAAGTAATATTCCATTGCATAAAAGTACCACATTTTCATTATCTATTCTTCAGTTTAGGGACATTTATGTTGTTTCTGGTTTACAGCTATTATAAGTAAAGCTGCCATGAATATAGTTGAACATGTGTCCTGTGGTAGGATGAAGTATCCTCAGGGTATATGCCCAAGTGGTATAGCTAGTCATGAGGTAGATCAATTAACAATTTACTGAGAAACTGCTGTGTTTCTTTCCAAAGTGGTTGTACAAGCTTGCAGTCCCATCAGCAATAGAGAAGTGCTTCCTTTGCTCTACATTCTCTCCAGCATGAGCTATCACTTGTGTTGATCTTGGCAATTCTGACTGGTGTAAAATGGAAATTTAGAGTCATTTTGATTTGAATTTCCCTGATGGCTAAGGATATTGAACATTTTTTTTAAGTGCTTCTCTCGGCCAATTGAGATTCCTCTGTTGTGAATTCTCTATTTAGATCCGTACCCCATTTTTAACTGGATTATTTGGTTTCTTTGGTGTCTAGTCTCTTGAGTTCTTTATATATTTTGGAAATTAGCCCTCTGTCAGATGTGGGACTGATGAGGATCTTTTTCCATTTGGTGGATTGCTGTTGTGTTCTCTTAATAGTATCCTTTGCTCCTTAAAGAGGTTTTTTGGTTTCATGAGTCTGATTTATTAGTTGTTTATCTTAGTCCCTGCACTATTTGTGTTCTATTCAGAAAGCCATCTCCTATTACAGTGTGTTCAAGATTATTTCCCACTTTCTCTTCTCTCAGGTTCAGTATAGCTGGTTTTATATTGAGCTCTCTGATTCACTTGAGCTCGTTTTGTTCAGTGTGATAAACGTGGACTTATTTGCATTTTGGTACATGTCACCATCCAGTTATA